GACGAACTGGTCCTGTTCAGTTGCGTTCTCCTTTTGTGAAGAAACTAAGTCAAGCCGAATTGGAGGACAGAAAAGCAAGGGGACTTTGTTTTAATTGTGATGAGCGTTTCAGTCCTGGACATCGTTGCAAGAAACTCTTTTGGCTTGAGGTTTTAGAAGATAATGATCAGAATGAAGAAGGAGGAGTACCACTGGACAATTTAGAAGATGCTGAAATTTCTATTCATGCCATCACAGGAACATTATCTTCACGAACAATGCAGATTAGGGGTTCGTTGGATGGGTACCCACTGATTGTGCTAATTGATTCGGGAAGCACCCACAGTTTCTTGGATGCAACATTGGCAAAGGAATTGAATTTACAGATTGAGCACAAGGAGGAACTAAGAGTCATGGTGGCAAATGGGGAACGAGTATATTGTGAAGGAATTTGTCGTGGTGTGACAATTCTTATGGGTAACTCTGTTTTTACTCTTGATTTATTGCGATTATCCTTGCCAGGCTTGGGTGCTGTTTTGGGAGTTAATTGGCTACAAACCTTAGGGCCTATCACATTGGATTTCAATTTGATGAGAATGAGTTTTATTAGGGGTGGGCAACTCCTACAATTAAATGGAAAAAGAGAATCTCGAATTATTTTTCCTAGGGTATTTTCTTCATCAGTTGTTTCGATAGACAGGGACTCAGAGTTGCAAAGGCTGTTAGCAGAATTTCAGGGTCTATTTCAGGAACCAACGGGATTACCTCCAACACGTGATTGTGACCATCGTATTTTATTGGAGCCAGATTCTTCACCTGTGGTTGTTCGACCATACAGATATCCCCATTTGCAAAAGGATGAAATTGAGAAACAATGTCAAGAAATGTTAGATAAAGGAGTGATTCAACCAAGTCAGTCTCCTTTTTCTTCACCGGTATTGCTCGTTAAGAAAGCTGATGCAACTTGGCGATTTTGTGTGGATTATCGCGCTTTGAATGCCAAAACGATCAAAGACAAGTTTCCAATTCCAGTAATTGAAGAGCTGTTGGAAGAACTTCATGGGGCTAAATTTTTTACAAAGTTGGACTTGCGTTCTGGTTACCATCAGATTCGAATGTATCCAGGTGATGTAGAAAAGATTGCTTTCCGGACTCATCACGGGCATTTTGAATTTCTTGTTATGCCTTTTGGGTTGACAAACGCACCTTCTACGTTTCAAGCTCTTATGAGTTCAGTTTTCAGGTCATATTTGAGAAAGTTCGTTCTTGTCTTCTTTGATGACATACTCATCTATAGCCGAACATGGGTAGAACACATTCAACACCTACGGGCAGTTTTCTCTACTCTTCTAAGTCATAATCTTTTCTTAAAGCAATCAAAGTGCAGTTTTGCTCAGTTGCAGGTGTCCTATTTGGGTCATATCATCTCCGAACAAAGGGTTTCTGCTGACCCTAGTAAAGTAAGTGCTATGTTGGAGTGGCCTTTGCCTAATTCTGTCAAGACATTGAGGGGTTTTTTGGGATTAACTGGTTACTATCGTAAGTTTGAGATTATGGTTTAATTGCAGCTCCTTTGACTTCTATGTTGCGCAAGAATGCTTTTGTTTGGACAGATAAATCCAAGGTTGCCTTTGATGCTCTTCGAGTGGCAATGGCCTCTCTTCGAGTGACAATGGCCTCAACACCGGTGTTGGCTTTACCAGACTTCTCTCAACCATTTATTGTTGAATGTGATGCATCTGATGCGGGGTTGGGAGCAGTGCTACAACAACAAAATAGGCCCATCGCTTATTTTTCTCGCCCATTGGCTGCCAGGCATGTCAAACTTCCTGCTTACGAGAAAGAATTGGTTGGGCTAGCCAAAGCAATACAACATTGAAGACCTTATTTATGGGGAAGGAGTTTTATAATTCGAAGTGATCATTACAGTTTGAAATTTTTGTTAGAACAACGTATTATAACTTCTCCCCAACAACGTTGGCTGAGCAAATTAATGGGGTTTGATTTTACTGTTGAGTATCATGCTGGGCGCGAAAATGTGGTTGCTGATGCATTGTCTCGCCAGTATGAAAATTTTGCTGTTCTTGCTGCAGTTTCTACTCCTCAATTAGATTATTTGGAGGATATTAAGG